TAATTTAAATTTATAAGCAAGATGGAAAAGAAATTCTTTAGACCCTTTCTCGAATAAACTATTTTCATACATTTTAGAAGCACTTATTTTCATATATTGAATTCATATCTAGTTAGCACCAGTCCTATCTGAACATTTTAAGCAGATCCCAAAGGGGCTTTTTTTGGCTTCCTCAAAGCAATTCTGTAATTCAGTTATTATTACCCACCTATTAGCTTGAATTAGATTTAGTGATATTTGGACAGTTCAGGTCAAACAGTGTGCTGTAAATGTCTTAACGACTAATTTGAAAATGTTTGTATCAGCCTGAATTATCCACATAATTGCCTCAGTTTTCCACTTCACTTTTTGCAAGTAAACACAACCTCCTAGAAATATATTATGTATTAGTGTTTGACTTTCTTGTACTATATGTAAGCTTATGGTACATTTATTTATTGTGTACACACATATGTATATTTGTATATACATGTATATATCTGTATAAATATATTCATATATACTTCTACATAAACACATACATACTTATATTTGCACATCTTGTACTATATATAAACATATGTACACATGCAACTGGCAACCTAAGCATAGTTTAGTCCATGGAAATTGTGTGCGTGTCTATTTGTGAATTTTAAGTGATCAAGAAAAAATTAATAAGACAAGTAAAACATTTTTAATGTCAGAAGGGTGCAAGGATATTTCAGTATTACCTTTTGAATTATCTTTCAGTGTTTTATATTCTTTTATAAAAGCATCTTTTATACTCATTCTAAAACATTTTATTATAACTAGTCTAGATGCTTTTTAAAAAAAATTAGTCTGCTAAGAACAGGCATAATGCACTATTCACAAGATGCATTTTGGCAAATGAAATCCTCTTGAGTCATTAAAATTGCCCAGAAGAAATTAACACATTTCTTTCTTTCAATAGAATCTCTAGTATGGATTCATTCATACAAATTGGATGCATTAGAAACTTAACATTAATTTAATCTGTTTAAAGGTTTTCAACAGCTTGCCAAATCCCCAAAGCATGACTCTACCCATTTGATTGATTTAAAACCATACCCAGAAACTTCTAAATTGTTGTATCTGCCAAAAGCCCTACTCAGCATTTAAAGTGCTTAGGCTTTCATCAGTGTTGAAAACTTTAGGAAACTAAACTTGATTACTCGGTAAACAAAATATTTTTATAGAAGTTCCTTAAAGACTATTTTTCTCCTTAATCAAATAGCACAATACAAAATGGCATCCCATTTTCTAAATCATACAGGAGCTACTGGGGAGGAAAGATGAAAACATCATTTGTATATTCTGATTTTTTGAGCATGAATAGATGTTGAACTGCTGTCCATATCAAGAGTCTTCTGCTGGATGGATATGAGGATAATTATTTCAAAATAGCCACGTTCTTTCCATTTTGTATTTTTATGTTTATAGATTACCTTATCATTGCTAATTCCTATACCATCCTATGGGGGGAATGAGTCAGTATACTTCCATAAACATAAATTCATTCGATAGTAAATATTCTTAATACCTTCTTTCAATATGACAGGGCCTATCCAAGCCAAATTCACTTTCCCCAAGTAACATGGGATCTCTTCACATTTCTGTCCCCACACCCAAAAACTAATTCAGGATTATATATATAGCACAATTAGGTATATATATATTAGCTATGGCGGTAGAAGGGACCTCAAAAGACCTGTTATCCATCTAACCTTATTGTACATACAGATAAGGAAAATGTGACGTCCAAGGAAGTTCAATGACTTGCCCAAGGTCACACAGGAAGTAAATGATACAACGAGGGTTCAACCCATGATCGTCTGATTTCAAATGTAGTGTTTGTGTACCTGTACCATACTACCACTAACATTGAATTTGTAGGTCTGAAGTATAACAATACAATCAACAACAGCTCTAAAACTTTCTTTTACAAGTCAGAAGTCCAAGTATGAGAAAAATACACTTTAGAATAAGTCTTATTGTTATTGTTCAGTTGTTTCAGTCATGTTCTTCATGACTCCCTTTGGGGTATTCTTGGCAGAGATACTGGAATAGTTTGTCATTTTTTCTCCAGCTCATTTTATAGATGACAAAACTGAGGCAAACAGGGTTAAGGGACTTGCTCAGGGTCATACAGCTAGTAAGTGTCTGAAGCCAGATTTCAATGAGTCTTCCCGACTTCAGGCCCGACACTCTATCCACTGAAGCACCTAGGTGCCCAGACTAAATCTACATAATCAATTTTGTGTCTGATGGCCATTGTTTGTCTGTAACTGGTCCAAAGTTTACCTTAAGTGAGATTCTTAGTTTTCTTTTTCTCCTATGCACAATATCTAGCAGATAGTATGAGACAATCCATAGATAAGTCTCTCAGAGGATTGGCTGTCTTGAATCATACATAGACCCTTCCAAAATTCCTTTAATTTACCATCATGCTTATATTAGGTGAGACTCAGAGTGGAGTAGTGGATAGAGAACTGACTTAGAATCATGAAGACCTAAGTTCAAGTCTTTCTTTTGACACATACTGGCCAGGTAACCCTGGACAAGCCATCTAACTTATCATTATTCCCCAGAAACTCTCCAAGTCTATAAGTTGCAGGCTAGTTGCTAAAAACTGTACTAGTAAAAGGAGTTTTCTCACTGAATTCCTTACATTGATGAAATCTCAGGTCTGACAAACAAAACAATTTCCTTTTACTAAGCAAAAGACAGGGTGATATTTCACCGGGCCCTCCAGGAAAAATCACTTAGGGTTGTCAATGAGACACTTCATCTAACCCTTCTCCCATCACTCTTTAATGATTGCTTCAGTGAGGGGCCCACCTGGAAGAGGTATGATGGTTAATTTCAGTTTGTGCAGCTCAGCATTGCCTCCTGTTGTAATAGTCAAATTGCCATGTTCCATTAAGCAGAATTCTAATACAAAAATATCTGGAACCTCCTACTTCTTTGGGCCATTGCCAGTTATCTTGACCTTTGTCTTGCCACTAGACTCCAATGACTCTGGAGGAGAGAGTGAGGCTGATGACTTTGTGCAATTCTGCCTCCCTTAAATCCAATTCATGCCTAAATCAAGACATCAGTTCATGATGTCATTGGTCCTCTTCAAAATGAAGGACAAACAACAGCTTTGTCTTTAGAGACAAAGCTTCACCTATTCTCCACAGGGGTAAAGTCATCATCACCAATGAACAAAAATACCTATATTTTTCAGTGATATTTTAACCAAAATATCCAAAAAAAAAAAAAAGCACACTATTTGAATTGAGGGAACAGCACGTAGGTTATCAATACTGTCAAGATTAGTTGAGGCTATTTAAACGAGACAAGATGAAGGTGAGAAATAAATTATTCAGACAAAGGAGTCTCGTCCATCTTCTCTGGTGGGTGTTCTGAGGCTGGGGCCACACTGCACTCTGGGCTCAGGAGGCACAACTGCTTTCTGCTGACTTCAGGAAGGTCTTGAACAGTATGTGACGCTTCCTTGTTCTTCCTTTGGCCCAGCTGAATCACTGTGACCTTAGAGGGGCATGGTGAAGCAGGTTGGCAGTGGAAGAGGATGAGGAAACACTTGTAGAACTGAAAGGAGAAGAAGAAAAAACAGTGACATAGAGATATAGGAAAAGGTGAAATGCATAATGATTTGAACTTCTGGCCTCTCTTTTATAATTCAGTTCAATTCAGTACACATTTATTAGGTGCCTACTGTGTGCCAGACTCTGTACTAGATTCTGTGGGTGAAAGCAAAAACAAAATGCCTGCCTCAAGGAGCTTGTGTTCTTTGTGGAAAAGAGCCTGTAAGTGCTTAGTATGCACACAGCTAACGCACAGGAATTTCCAATGGGGAAGGCACTGGGAACTGGGTTTGGGAACGGGCTGGGGAATGAGAATAGACTTCCTAAAGGAAGAGTTGGATTGTATGAGGCAGAGATGAGGAGAGACACACACTAGGCACGAGGCATAGAGATAGGAGGTGGAATTTCATGGGTAAGAAACAACAAGTGGGATGCCCAGAAAGGTTGATTGGGATTAGATTGTCAAGCTCTTTGTTAAAGCCAAATGGGAATTTATATTTTATCCTGGCGGCAATGGGGATTCACTGGACCTTCTTGAGCAAGGGAGTAACGTGATTAGAGTTATGCTTTAGGAATATCGATTTGCCAGCTATGTAGAAGTTGGATTGGAGAGGGAAGAGAATGAATCCAGGGTGATCAGTGAGGAGGCTATTACGATAGTCTAGACAAGAGGTGATGACGGCCTGAGCTAGAGTTGTAGTCATGTGAGTGACAGAAAGATAAAGGTGCTATCCTGTGGAAGTACAATCAATAGAAGCGTCTTAATCTTAGCTATAACATCATTTGTCTTGGGTCTAAGATTCCCATTCACTGGCATGGACCTCTCCTCCTAGTATTTAATACTAGCATCACACACCTGTTGTGTTTAAATCATATGATAGAAGTAATCAATGTGATAGTGTTGAGGTGACAGAAAGTACTGTTAAGGGTTGTACAGTGGAAAGACAAATGGCCCTGGATTTAAAACCTGCCTCTGGCACTTGCTACCTGTGTGACCTTAACTTCTCTCATCTTAATGTCTTATCTGTATAACGAGGGGATTGAACTAGATAAAGTGTGAGGTGCCTTCCAGCTCTCTGTTTATTGTTATATACCATGATCTCTTATTTATGATCCTAAAGTGACTTTCCCTCTATGGGCCTTATTTTCCTCATTTGTAAAATGAGGAGCAGATGACTTCTGAGGTCCTATGCAACTCTAAATCTCTGATTCTATAAAGCAATTCATCTTTCTAGGTCTCAGTTTCCTCATCTGTAAAATGAAGAGATAGGAGCAAATGACTTCTTAGGTTACTTCCAGCTCTCAACCTCTGACCTGGTGGAAAGAGTTTCTTGCCAGTCTAAAAATCCTTACCCACCCAAGTCTTCCTGAGTTAAAATGCATCTGATTTTTTTTTTGTTTCCATTTCAGGAATACTTATCATGATGTCACTGTGCAGAGAAGTGCACGTTTATGAATATATTCCATCTGTACGACAAACTGACCTCTGCCACTATCATGAACTATACTATGATGCAGCCTGCACTCTGGGGGCCTACCATCCCCTGCTCTACGAGAAGCTCCTGGTGCAGAGGATGAACCAAGGCATCCGAGATGACCTGTACCGAAAGGGGAAAGTGATCCTACCAGGGTTTCGAGCTATCAGCTGCCCTGCACCCGATCAGTTTCCAAATTCTTAAAAAGAAAGGAAAAAAGAAAAAGAGAAAGAAAGAAAGAAAGGAAGGAAGGAAGGAAGGAAGGAAGGAAGGAAGGAAGGAAGGAAG